CTAGGATGTTCTCCTGTGTCGTGGGTGAGTTTACAAACATACAAGTTCACATACACATCACACACAGACACGGAACAACAATCTGTGGATCACACAAACAGTTGTAACATGCGGCAAACGAATCCAAGATAGCAAATTCAAATTCATTCATTCATTCATTTCAAATTCATTTAATCGTTTGCAAACATGGGTACATAATATAGGTATTAACAAAATATACAGTTTCTCCATGTTTTGCCTTCACTTGGCATGCAAAGATATGTTATAAATAAATTATATAATAAAATTAGGTACATTCAGTTTAATTAATTGTAATGTTGTTAAATTGATTACAGTATGTCAAATAAATTAAAATTATTAATACCATTGAAGTCAAAAATGTAATGTCAAATTAAATATATTATGTAAAAAGGTAATCATCAATTATGAATGTCACACAAGCAATGTTAAACAAACTAAGATAATTATAATTGACCGTCATACACAGCCACAACAAGCCCAAGAACCATCATGTCCATTCCGTCTTTAGTTATTTAGTTATTAGTTATATACCAAACCTAAAAAGTATTATAAAGAAGCCAGTACTAATAATGAACAATGATTGTATTTACTTTAGTACGTCAACATTGTATGTGTTTAATTATAATCGCAAGTGTGAATTACCTATAATTACAAGATATTTTTTTAAACCAGCGTCTGTCTACCGTTAAAACAATCGATTTTGACTTCTATAATTGTAACAATAAGATATATGTAAACTGCAAGAATTAAAATGGTACGGCAAAGTTATTTTTGCTGTACAAAAACTCCTTATATCAAAGGTATAAAGTTGATAATAAACTGAATTTAATGTGAGTTTATTGTTGAAAAATGTAATTTATTTATTTTAATTTTATTATATTTTTTTATTTATTTTATTTTTATTAATTTGTAATGTTATTTTAAATAGTATCAACGGGCATGGTCACAGTTCCAGCGACGCAGCGAGTCAACGCGCTACGAACTATGACGATCTAACTACACTGTACGAGCTAAGCGCAAAGTGCAACCTGCTACGAATAATGCGCTACATTCTACGCTCTACGTCCTAGGAACTATTATGCACTACGAACGGTACAAACTACGGACAAGACGCTACGGACAACGCGCTACGACAGACTACGAGCTACGCGCTACCTACCAAGCTCTACGAACCATGCGCTACGAATACCGCGCTACTTACAACGCGTCACGATCGATGCGCTACGAGCCAAGAGCTACGTACTATGCGCTGCGGACTATGCACTACGAGCCATGCGGTGCATGCTACGCTCTACGAATTATGCGTTATGAACTACGCACTCTGTACTACGTACTACGCGCCACGAGCTACGGTCGTAGCATCATACAACGTCTTCTCCCGCCCGAGTGAGGCCAAAGGGAGTGTCAGACTCTTATTGACTAAAAATCACTTTGCTACTACTCCTGCTTAAGTAAAGTTTAAAATTAGGGCTAATAGATTAATTAGAGTTAGGCCTATAGTGTTAGAAATTTTGCTCTATAATTTATGAGATCTGATTACTTTTTGACAATGCGAGCATAATGATCTTGTTTCAGCTACATTTTACATGCTAATGTTATTTAACACCTTGAACGTCATGGGGGACATGTATGGGCCACGCTAGCGGAGGATTTACCTTCAACAGTTTACTGTCGGCAGTCATAGTCTTAAAAAAAGTTGCGAGCTTTTTGAAAGTCGCTATGAAAAGTACTACAGTGTATTAGTAAATTTAAAGCAGTCTTACTAACAACTCCAATGTTTTATAAATATTTATTTGTATTTATAGCTTAGTACGACGTCACCGTAGTTCACCAGTATACGCTGACCTTGCTATGTATTGTGGTCAGTTACAGTTAGAGATCAGTTCATACTGGAAACATATTATATGTGTATGGTAGTAAAAAATTACGAACTATAAGTTGACCTATTACAAGTCTAGTTTTATTATAGTTTGGAGTTCAAGATTAACTAGTTTATAGGTACGGCGCGGCGTCCTAATACAGAAAGGCTAACTACTCAATTTTACATTGAACTTAAGTATCGTGCAAGCTCTATCATTTTCAAAGAATATGTAGAAACAGAACTATATAACTATACACGGACGTCGGATAATCTCGATGGCCTCTCACACTTTTCGCGGAACGAAGTATTTTTCTCTCGCTAGTACGGAGACCTTATCAAACCGTATGAAGTAAGCCACGTCCGTACCGCACACATGTCCCCTCTGTGTGTTCGAAACTAGTAGAGCTTTTCTCAGTATATTCACGTGAGTAACCCGTGATTTTTAGTTAATTTAGTATGTCTCACGATAGTTATTAAAAAAACACGACAGAACTACTATACTTAAGAGCGACTTAGAATCTAGTGGCGTCTTAGTATTCAGGCGTAAGTGTATCTTCTATATCAAAATCCAATGTCTGAGATAACACAGGCTACTTTTTGGACGCACTGGCAAACGCAGTGCAGGATGTCGACCTACAAAGTGAATAGCTGACCTACATAAAGGCTGCAGGGCACTTCCAGTCTGTTCATACTAATCATTATAAACATTATTCAGTATATTCTTTAAGTGTGGCAGAGCCATGCTTCGGCACGAATGGGCCCGACCGGAGTGATACCACGGCCTCACAGAAAACTGACGTGAAACAACGCTTGCGTTGTGTGAGTGAGGTTACCGGAGGCCCAATTACCCCCCTCTCCAGTCTCCCCAATTCCCGAATACTATACAATCCTCAAATTCCCAATTCCCAATAGGCCGGTAACGCACTTGTAACGCTTCGGTGTTTCACATGTCCATGGGCGACGCCGATTGCTTACCATCAGGTGATCCGACTGCTCGTTTACCGGCTTATTCTTTAAAAAAAATCATCATCATCAGCCTATAACGCTCAGCTTTAGCCTTCTCACACGAAGAAGGTTTAAGCATTAATCACCACGCTAGCTCAATGCGGGTTTGCGATATCAAACTTACAATTGGAAGTCAGGTTTCCTTACGATGTTCTCCTTCATTGTCTATCAGTGGTGTTTAAATAAGCTCAGAAAGTACATACTCAACCGCACACCTGTCTCCCATGGGTGCAGGCAGAGACTATGGAACGCCAATTGCTACGATTTTTAAATCTCTTTCGCTTATAAACAGTCATCAGTCCATAGATGGCCTATATGGTCCTAGAAACCCAAGAAGGGCTTGTTGGGAACAGAGAGTATAGTTCCCTAAGATCGGAAAAGGAGAATCCTCCGACCAGGCGAGGTGATCGTGCCTGGCGGGCTTTCTGTCCAACAGTTGTTCGTTGGGATTTTCTATCCGTGTTAATTCGCTTGTAAACTTCACATGTGCGATGTTGGATTTTGTGACGTCATCCATTGACATGTAAGATGTGACGTCATAGGCTAAATTAAAAGCCAAATTGTTACCCCTACTTAACCGATGAGCATGCATCATAAACCTGATAATCCTTTAGGTTCTAAGAAGTACATCGAGGAAAAGACTGCCTTGTTGGCCGAGTGGTCGCAAGTACGGGCCAGGGGTCTCGGGTTGGATTCCCGGGTCGGGCAAAGTATTACTGGGTTTTTAAAAAAATCTCAGTAGTAGCTCACAGTCTTAAATTGTGCCCGGTATATGGCAATAGGGTCACCCCCTATTACATGGGACTCATAACATAAATAGTGAAAAGTGGGTGTTACATTGTGTATTAGGCTCCTTAACCTCTAGGCCATGTTAGGTAAGTATCCTTACTATAATGTTATAAATCGGAAAGTGAGTTTGTTTGTTTGTTTGTTCTGCTTTCACGCCGTAACTACTAAACCGATTGCTTTGGATTTTTGCAGCCGTAAAGTTAGAAGTCCGGATTAAATAATAGTGCACTTTTTATCGCGGAAAAATTGATATTTCTGAGGGAAACAAAAGTATTGGTATAGATGGCGCTGTGTGTATTGGTATATGTCACATAGGTTACTTTTTATCCTTTTGTGACGCGAGCGAAGCCGCGGGTAAAAGCTAGTAATATATATAATAGTAGGTACATATATAACTTTGGTTATTGTAACATAAGTAGTTGCTTCCCTCCAGTCGGCCCCGAAACGATATAATATACCATGCCGTGGGGGGGTGACCCTTAATTTTATACCAAAGATACAGGGTGTTAGAAATAACTTACTCGAAGGGGTTATATTATATATTTTTACAAATGTTTAGTTACTATAAATGTGAAGTACTATATGTTAGGAGTGTAGTAGGTGACGCTCTGTAGTTTCTGTATACCATCAGATGTATGACTGCGATGTAAGCAAATTTTTTTGAGAGGGGAAAATCATTCAATGACTTCTTCCACCTAGGTGATTAGTTCTAATATTCGGTTGGGACAAGCCCGTCACAACCTCTCAAAAACCGCTGCAACTCCTGTAAACCAGGATCTACAGAAGATACAAACATAAAAAAAATTCGAACACCGAAGCCTCACGCGTCACAAGGACATGATTAACTGTCTTGGTTCCCGCAACGAAATGAATCAGAAGATATTATAAGAGGAGAAGAAAAATAATTAGAACCCATCTCTAAATTATAAGTTTATTAAAGATACTGACCTTTAAACCTCGTTATCTTGTCGCGGAGAACGTAACGGGTAACCGGGGCTCCGGCTCGACGTGCAGGAGAAGGAACGGGGTGGTTTTAAGTCAGTAAGAGTCTGACACTCCCTCCCGCCTCACTCAGGCGGGAGCAGTCATTCGATGATTATCCCCCTTTAAAAAAAAACCTCGTTATTTTGTCTTTAGAACAGAAGAAAATACACCGATACCACAATCAAAATAAAAACAGTACTTACTTATTTTCAATGAAAAAAATATCAAAAAATTAAAACCAGCCTACCTTTAGCGTCTTAAAGAAAATACTCTTTGCACGCAACCTGTATACCAAGAAAGCACAACCTTGTCCAACCACCTTGCTGACTAGTACCGCGGCAAACATCGTGCAACGCACACGTTTTACAGTAAATATATACATATAGAAATTGTTCAGTTCCCTTTCAACTATCACATAGACTAAACGTAAACGTGACTTAAAAGACTTTATACTAAATCTTATAAAACAAGTTAAAAAAGTAAAGAAAAAAAGCAAGCAACGTTTGTCTAAATATGGAATTTTAAATTTAGAACTCTGTTCTTTTTTTTAAATAAAGAAGAAAACTTAAAATGGAATAACGCTGGACACAGAGCTTTTGCACCTTTTTTGTTTTTTTTTTTCTATTTATTAAACGCGACGTTGGTTTATGTTTCATGAATTTTGGTGTGAATCAAATCAATGTATTTTTAGAAGACGGACAGGTAGGTATAATTATGTATATTTATACCAATAATATAAATGCGCTTTTAATGTTCACAATAATTTCAAAAATGTACAAATAGCGTATGTGTATACTGTGATTTTTATCCTTTTTAAAATATTTTGATACACAATAATTATTTTACTAAAGAAATTATGTAACATGATGTATAAAACATTAGTTATAACCAATTGATTATACAACATTCATGAAGCATAATATGAACTGTATTGTGCAATATATTGGCATAGTTAAAAAGTAATATTTTTGTATTAAAATAACACCTAAGAAGAAAATAATCACGACAAAAGTAATCACTGAAATCAGTTTAGCTGTTCTCAAGTTATGTGCGTAACAACAGATTTTTTCAGATTAACTTTAATATTTATATATAATATCAATAATTAAGTCAATTTTATAATATTAGTGATTCTTTTGTACTTGAGATTTCATAGTAATTAATAAATTAGTTGCGCAATACAGACTTGATATAAAATAGTTGTCAATGTGTTTTTTTTTTATAAAAAATTGCTTCTTTCCTTTTTAGACTCACACTGCTAGCTTATAGCACTAAACTTTAAATTATCTTTACCAATGTAAATAATTAAATGCAAATAATCTAATTTACTAAGTAATTTGGCTAACTAATAACGATTTTCTAATTATATTTTTACATTCACATTTTTTATCTATAAAATTTTTAATGTGTTTTTAAGAAAAAAAATCTGACAGTTATATCTATTTTTTTTTTCTTAAAAACATTCGTAATTCTTTATTTGTTTAGTGAGATTCAAGTAAGTATTTATTTAAATAATCAACTTATTAGTTAACCAAAGTAATAAGTAGAAAATTTATATATATAAAAAAATGGAATTTTCGTTAAATTTTAGATTTTTTTGTAATAACTACACACATATTTTTGTTTATATCCTTGTTAGTTGTTACCCGCAATTAAGTTAAGCCCGCGTGGTCAAATGAAAAAACGTAGTCTACATCACTAAAGTCAAAGTCATTCATTTAATTAAATGAATCGTTAATTAAACACTCTTGAAAAGTCAAAATTGATTTGTCCGTCCGTGTCCCTGTCAGTGAAGCTAGGCGCTTGTTCCAAAATGTAGATTCGAGTGGAGAATAACAAGCAAGAAATTCCATCGATACTCTTTAAAAAAAAATGAGTTTACAATAATATTGATCACTTCAAGTGATCCTAACTATCTTTAGACACAAATATAATATCATAAAAACGCTTCGTTGGCGCGTAAGAAAGATATTGTTTTAATTATACTTTTTTATTACGCATTTGTATTTGGAATAGGTACTAATTAAGGAAGATTTTTTTTGTCTATGTTCATAGATAAATAAGTTGACGTTGTTTTAAATGGCTCTTTCGTTGAATTGGCAGAAAAAGTTCACTGATTGCCGTCTGATGACTTAAAGAATCGCATAAAACTTTATTAAGGGTAACTATTTTTATAGAATTACGCAATTACTGTCTCTTTGATCTCAATCGTTTAGCAATATTGTTAGTAATTTGTCGAAATTCCTTAATAGCTTAGCAATAAAAAAAAAAAATAAAAAAAGTAAATAGGTTTGCTATTTCGTCCACACGACACATCCACGACGCAGGAGAAAATCCTAGTGGACATTAACGCTTTTATTAATTTAAAAAAAATGCTCGTCTTCACGGCAACGCGTTTTCTAGGTAGCTATAGATGGCGCCGATTGCTTACCATTAGGTGATCCGCCTGATCGGTTGCCTCTACTCTGAAAAAAAAAGAAAAATATGTGTATAGTTATTACAGTGTACATAAAATTACTTAAATGTAATCTTTTTCTAACAAAGTAGCTAAAATTAATCTTAAGGAGGTTTGATTAATGTGTTCTTGTGTATCTGCGCGTCTTAATGTTTTTTTTTTATTTTTATGTATGTATATATGTATATATATAATAGGTATAGATAAATATCTATTTATCTATACCTATTATTATATTATTATTATTTTATTATATGCAGGACAACGTCTATTGGGTCCGCTAGTATATATACATATATATATTCATAAGATTACATAATTAATTAAACCTCCTAAGCAATGATGACTAGAAAATAACCAGATGGTTAATGTAAATATCTTATCAGAGTAAATTCGCGCAATGTAACGCAGAACGCAGCAAGCAATAAGCGTTGATCGCACACTGATAAGCGTTCTAAAAGTTCAAATATGTTTCACGTGGCCATGATCTACTGGAGGGCACCATGGCCTTATAGAAAACTGGTATAAAACGTACGCGTTGAATTTTTTAACCGTACTTGTGTTCTCTAGTATATTTGTCGTGTGCCCAATATTCTATAAAAAATCTGCTCTAATTTTTATAGAGAAGTCCAAGCGAATTACTTAAAATTAAAAAACCATTTGAGCTTTTACAACGCAAATCATGAAATGTTCAAAAAGTGCTTACAAATAACTAAAAAACAACTAATCTATATTTACATTTTACGATCTGGTCATTAATCTTTACAATATTAACTAAAAAAACCTAAATAACTTCAAAAAACGTTATCTTTTAACATCATCATCCATTTTTCTAAAGCGGCTATATTTAAAATTCTGACAGCTCAACGTAATAATTCAAAATGGCGCCGGTACGTATTTTTTTGTTACGCAAAATGCTATGAGGTTAATTGAAGCAGTTATGCAAATAGGTCTAGCGCTAATAGACGAGAAAATATAGGGTCTAATAATATTCTTTTGAAATGGTAATACGGGCATTAGATTGCGATATATTTAAAATATATTTACTCTTAATTTGTACACCTGCAAAAAGGTTACGGTCGATTTATCCGACGCCAGATAAATTTTAACTGAGGAATAAATTTGAATATTTGATTAATTCTTCTTTTCTTAAAAAAACTGTTAAATGTCAATTTTATTCTACATTTTTAATTGAAAAATCGTTAATCTAAAATTAATGAAAAGTTAATCGAAAAATAATAAAATCATTAAGTATTAACAGTTAATTTTAAAAATTGACAGTTAACAGCCGTTTTGAGTGTGAAAGAATTGTCAAATACTTATTACTCAATTAAAATGTAACAAGCGTTGGAAAAATCGCACCTTAAAAGTAAATCTAGCATATTTCCTTCAGCAAACACCCATGACAGTCCATTGCTATACTGGGGTCATCACTTATTATGAGTGTGTCCCGTAATTGCCTCGTTTGACACATGGAAATTGTAGTTTAAAAAGTTCAGCAACTGTAGTCAAATGCCATTTGGCGCTTGTCTACATGTAGAATAGAAAACCAAATTATATGGAATTGACGTAAATGTGGACACTTGTCAGTGTCATCCCCATACATTTAGTTTTCTACTTTCTCTGTAGACAAGCGCTAAAGTGACGTTTGGCTAAAGGCTTTTCAGGGAAACAGTCCGGTCTCTGTCAAATGTGTAATCTCTTACTGCCAATGTCAGTAACCTATTTCAATTCAAAATCTGTAATTTCTATCGATTTCTGACTGAAACTCAATACAACTAATTTCAGAAATAGATTAGTGAAATTGGGACCGTGACAGGGTATGAAAATTAAAAATATAATTAGCCCGTAAGTTAGGTAATGAAAAAATATTAGACAAGTATTTTTTTGTCGTATAATAAAACAATACTTAGATAAAACGAATCAAAGTTTAGGAGTGGGGACTAAAACGTCATTTCTACGTATAAAAGAAGAAACATAGAAGTGACGTCACGCGACATTTCCAATCAATATATCGTTGAAAGTATTCGTTTCTGTAAGAAAATAAAAAATACGTATCTAATCATTTAAAATAATCTACCAGGCGGACATTAAAATAAAAATTAGGCATCTACCCTATTGGCAGTTAATCGCTCTAACGATGTCCGCGGGAATATTCAAATAAATGTAACAGCTGTATTAATTATTAAATTCGGTGTTGTAGCTGTCAGAATTATTTTGTAAATTATTATTGTTCACATTGTATTCTGATTTCCAATCATATCATTTATCATTTATGAATTGGTTTAAGTAGACATCTTATTGGCATCCAATTTGAATTGGTAGTCTTCAATGTGTTGGATAAGTTTTTTGATGTTTCTTCGTCGGTAGTTTATAATAAAAAGACAGTTAAAAAGTTCGTTTAATAGCTCCATTGATAGTTATCGAGAGTTTTATAATATCCTTAAGATATCCAGAACTTGTCCAACACGTATGCTCACAGAAAATATTTTTCAAATTCAAAAATCAAATCGCAATTCCAAATTCGTATCACCATACCATAAACAAGGATATAAGGCGTAACCATACACGTACTTTACTCCATCAAAATTTCCTTAGACGTAAACTGTTGCGTTTCAAAAACGGAAATGTTTGGAATTTTTGAGATGTGCCGGAAGCAAGTTGCCGCTATCATTCTGCCGCTTGTGTTGGCATCCCTGACGGGGTACTCCTCGGAAGCACTTAGCACATTCGGAGTATCGAACACGAAGGCGCCGTCGGCGGCCCCGACACCACCTCCCGGTAAATATATTTTTTTTATATAATGGGACATACCACAATGCACATCCACGGATTGGATTTTAGTTCAACCCCACTGAACACTTTAAAAACATCTTTTTTCAAACAAAAACCCACATTTTTCTACACATTTGTGTGTCATGTCTTTAAGTGTTAGACGCACGAAGTTACTTTTTTAATAATTACAGGTATGGAGGATATTTTTGTCCCATTATATGAAAAAAAATGTTTGCCCATGCACGCAGGCGATTTAGTCACTGAAGGCGACCTTAGCAACGAGCAATACAGGTTTACTACAATTTAAAATTACTTACAAAGCTTTATATTTATCACAAAATGTAAAATAACGTCGGAAAGACTAAACAATCTGTATATATTGTACATACAGCCACTTTTTACACAATCCTCTCTTTTTATAACATTTCCAAATTCAAAATTGACATTGACAGTTCATTTTGCAGAGTTGGTAGTAAAGAATGTGGCAATGGAAATCTAGTATTATGCCTATTCTTGTGTTCTTATGGTTAATTGGACAATGTTTCGGTGCGTTTAGTCCCGTTTTTGGCGTTATTAAAACTGAATCGCCATTAAAGACACCATCGCCTACTCCGCCGTCGGGTAAGACATTTTTTTTTATATAATGGGACCTCCATTTTATTTTATTTTTCTAAATAAATTATCGTGTACAGACTAAAGCTTACTTATAAATCAAAATTGATGTATTTTTCTTTAATAAAAATTGAGTTTGTCTATTGCCTGTATATATTTGCGTTATATAAATATAGATTTTTTTAATCTATTTTTTTGTAATAAGTATTTACGAAAAAAGGTATGTCAGTCTGTTACTTTAACATTCAATTGGTTATTTTTGCTTTCAATGTGAATAGACGTTTGATATTAATAGTATTTTACGTTTAATTTGTCTCATTATATAAATTATTATGGTAGAGGCGGAAACAAAACTGAAAACAATCAAATCCCAACAAATTCTATACGATAATTCACTGAATTAGTAAAAGTAAAATTTAAAGGGTATCTTTCTAAAGAGTTCTGTATCATTAATTTAATATTTAGTGGGTTATCGTGTAACAAATACATGGTATAAATGTACACTTTTCACTAATACATTAGACAAACACATTCCTCGTATTACTGAGCCCAACATCAACTGCCAGGTAAAATTAATAAGTTACAGTCGCATTTGTGAGTCAATTTAATATTTCTCTTCAAATTAAATCAATGCTAACATTACTATAATTGTGTTTCATAAAGTAATTCCTTCTTTTTTAATAACCATGAAACCTTCATGGGCAAGTACCAACATAACAAAAAAAACACAGCCCCTTTCATACAAAATGCTTGGTAATTCAGAGGAATGACACACAACACACAATAGTGCCTTTTATTAAACAGAAAACAAATATTATGTTTATTTGGGCTGACTTGCAAACTTTAGCGGTTACGCTCAAAACAAACACAGCTTTACTACACAATAATTGTTAGATACAGACCAGCACGTCAAGCTACTTCAAATTGCCTAATTTCTTCAATAGATTTTCGACTTCAATTCTTCTGTTACAGAATTGAAAATCTAATAAAGAAATTTCACATTATCGTAGCTTGATGACCAAACGTCTGTACAACGACAAATCATAAACTGTCAAAAACAAATTGGCGCCAAATTTTGACGTTTGATATTCCATAGACAATTTATACTTTTTATTTTTGGCATAAATAGCTTAGGTATATTGTTAACAAACCTACTTTGTTACAATAACTATCTCAGAGAGGTAGAAGAGTGTTAAAATGTGGCACAAAAGGCATGCTTTAGCCATTGTGCCCGTTATTATAGTCGGTTGGCTAAACATACAGTGTACTGAGGGATTTGGGATTTCATCCTTCGGGAAGGCTAACACAGATCCACCGAAGCCAGCAACGACATCTGCCGCACCCGGTAAGAATTTACTTACATACATAAATCATACATACAAACAAAACAAGCTTCCATACAATCACACACACAAACATTACGCCTGCTGTCTTAGGCTGTTAAAAATAGCTTAGCTGTCATATATTTAGGTTATACAATTTTTATCTATGGTGATGCGTATATAGGAGGGAAGAATGACAGATGTCAGTGCTACAACATTTGAAAAAACATATGGCGCCAACAATTATGTACACGACAGACTATACAAACTTAAAAATAAAAAACAATACAACACTTACGCCCGAATACTAAAAAGCAACTCAACATTAACTTATACTTAAATATCTCTATCATTTTGCAAAGGATTCGTATTGACAGAACTATACTTGAGCGCGACTTAAAATTTGAGTTTTAGTATTTCAGCGTTACGGCCAATGTTACAGGTTTTTTTTTTATTTATAATCACAACAGTGTACAGATATTGAGTTTACAACTTATTCCCACAACAAAGGTAAGTAATCTATGCGTACCTGACAAATATATCTAACAGGTAATAAATACCAAATCAATACCATACATACTTATACATCGTCGTATTCGTCTTGACAACATACTCTGTCATATTGAAATCTACTTATACTACTACAGGCTAAACTCAATTGATTAGATATCTCTACTTTATACTTTACCTATCAAATACCTTTTTACAATAAACAATCCTGAATCAATAACACTAACTGACATTGTAACAGAAGATAGATGCGATTTGATCACATACCGATGTCAAACTCCATAACAATATTGACATATTATCCGTTATATTCTAGTAAAAGGGTGAATTTCAACAAGAGATTTTTATGTATCATTTCGGTGGGATTTTTTTATTTCAATGCAATCTATATATTTTTAGTGACAAATAATACTTTAGTCTATTTTATAACATTGTGCGTGAGTGGACATCAAATATTATCAAAACTTACATAAATATTTAAGGATAAAGTTTTAAGAGTCCACTGAAATTAAAAGTGTCCACCGAAATGATAAAAATTACCACCGAAATGATAAATCCACCGAAATGATACAGCTAAGAACAACCGTGCCCCCAGCCAGGGTTCCGTACTTTGTTAGGTTTGATTTCCACAAATTTTAGATAAACACTGAGACAGGACAGTACACAGTTTTTTTAATATCATCATTAATATACAGATATTACAGTTAGTATTATTACATATATCATTCTTTGAGGTTACAATAACCTCAAAGAACCACAATTTACACTTGAAATATTTGGGATCAGGTCCCAAATATTTCAAGTGTAAATTTTTAAGTGTGTCTGTCAATAGTCTTTTTTGTTTTTTTAATCCATGTCTAGATATGGTGTCATTTTTTCCAGGACACAGTGTTGAATTTTCATCATCTTCTAAAAATTTCACCACCCTCCTCAGAATTCGATTTTTTTTTTCATCAGGTTTTATGACTTCTACTGCTGGTTTTTCTCCTTTTTGGGTACTTATCTTCAAAATCATATAATTGCTTTGTAGTCTGTTACACATTTTTTTGAACATTTCTTTTTCCTTAGTGGCCTGTAATAATTTGTTTTGTAATTCTGTTATTAGCTTAGTTTTAGTTTTTTGATATTTTCGAAATTTGTCTTTAAGTCCTCGCTTGAATTCTACAGATGTAATTGACGAGTCTGAAACAGGGCTGTTGGGGCATAATGTTGACTCGATACTACTTAGATTTGATGGACATGTTATTCGTTGTACGCCACTTGGTTGTACACAATGAGTGCCAGTTACTACATTGTCATCAATATGATGTTGAATATTGGAACCAATTGTACTATCGCTATTCATCGGCAAGCAGCGCCGAGCCGAAGATGGATTCCCTTGACGAGAAGTGCTTGGACCAGGATTGCTATAGTTAAAATTTACAAAATTTTGATGCGTTGATAGCAGGGTTTGTCGTGGACTGCTTGTGTATACCCGATGAAAGCTTCTAGCTTCTGTAGTATTAGAACGTTGGATTTGGATATTCGTACTAATACTATTGCTGTTCAATCGTAAGCTGCGCCGTAAAGTAGGCAAGAAGGAACTGTGACAGGAAGTGCTTAGTCCAGGACCATCACTTTGATCCCCAATTGTCTCATCCAGAGGGTTAGCACGAGCCGCTATAGGAGCTGGAGCTGCTCTATTTTTTTTTCTTTGGTAATAAGCAGCAGCACTTATTTTGTTTTTTCTTCTTAGAATTCTTAATTTTTTAGGGGTCATTAGATGCCTTGAAACAATTAATCCCGCTGCTTTTTTTCTGGCATACCTTTCTCTGTCTTTTCTCAAAAACTCTTCGCGTGAGACTTCATTGCTCTTAATTCTCTCTTTTCTTCTTCTTTCATACAACCTCCTTTTTTCCAACCTTTCTTCTCTAGTCTGTTGCTTAGGCCGCGGCATCCTAAAATCAAAATACACGCTTTTCAATTTTCTTCTTTCTCATATCCACAGACATACATTCATACACACTATACTATGATCCTATAAAATACTATACCTTCAGATACACCACGCGCTCACACACTAGCTCTCTTGCATTGACTCAGACAAACACTCTCACAGGCAATTTCTCATCACATAGGTATATCTCTTTTTTTTTCATATAACGTTTAAATGCTCTTTAACTTATTTGTTATATCTTGTAAAATTAAGAAATTTTGTAATTATATCAAATATTATTTATTATTGTTATTTACTCGTAATAAATGATATAAAAATAAAGGTAAGTGACTTATATTGAAGGTAAACCCTCGAAATAATTATTTTGTTGACAATTAGTAGGTATAATAATCTACACTGTGGTGACCCACACACTCATCACATTTTCGTTGAGCCGAACAAATGTGTATCTAAAGTATAGTAAACATGTACTAACTACATAGATATATGTATATATTATATATCTTAAGCACAAATATTACACAACAAATACACCTAAATAATCTAATCGACACTCTAGGTAAAAGTAGGTACATTACAAAACTATGACTTTGTATTTGACACCAGGATCTCTAAAACTTTATGTTTTTATCATTTCGGAGATACTTTTAATTCCGGTGGACTGTAATTGGTATAACAGTCCACCGAATCCACTGAAATGATAACACTGAGATGATAAAATAGAGGTTAGTTCTACATTTAACTCCGAAAAAAAATTATTTAAAAAATATGAACACTACTCAAACAAAACAGTACTTACTGCGAATTTAATACACAATTTTGAAACAAATTAAACAAATCTAGCACGAGTTATAACAGCCACCGAAATGAAACTATTTTTGTCCCCATATTACTGAAATGATAAACTTACTTTTTTGGCGGGAAACCGCAAGACGTTGGGACCGGTGCGTTCGCGCCGAGAGCTTAAGCCGGACTGATCCGGTGTGAGAAAAGGTGAAAGGGGCGTAACAACGCAATGTTGATGTGGCTATTCTACTAAAACTTACTGTCCTCTGAAATGATAACTTTTTTCCAGACAAAAGTTGACTGCCTGTCAAATCCATGAGAAAGAAGATAAACCAACAAAAATTGTTTTATTTGATTGAATATATTATAATTTAATGATAACAAAATCAATTTAAATCCATATTACGAATGTATTTGCAGGAGAAGGTATGTTATGAGCGGAATTGGGTTCAGGACAGGTCACCGTGATGATAAAATAACACTTTGTAATTTTTTTTTTGGGTATATTAGAGGGTAGATACCAATGATTTTTTTTGCCAAGGTAGAGAAATACTTACGTTGTTGAGAAAAAATATATAAAATTAATAATCAGCACATTGCACTACCGTTCTCAGGTTTGCCGTGTATTTTTTTGCTTGGGCAATTCACCCAAAAACATTATTCATAGTAGTTTAGCTATGAACCATTGTAATATTCTAGAATCATAGATAGATTAGACTTTGTAGTTAAGATCAATTGGCAATTTGTAATTAGATCCACGAAAAATTATAAAAAAGAAAAAAACAATAAATAAAAAAATACGAAAAAGTAATAACATAGGTTTTATACCGAGGTATCTGATATTTTCTGCTTAAATACAGAACCAAGAGTCAGAACTTAGGTTGTCAAGATGTATCTATGATATCTCTCTATTTATCGTTCATAAAATCAGTCTATATCTTAGAAGATTTGAAAATAAAAAATTTTGGTACACAAATTTCAAAGTATTGTCAAAAAAATTTACCCACCATTAAAAAGAACCGCCAAAAATCTAAAGATAAAAATACGCGCCATCTTGTTTGAGCACAGATTAAATACGACGTAAACATTCGTTCTGAATCAGCATTTAAAATGCGTGGTTTACATTTCGCGATGTGGTATTATCGGCTGACTACTAAGGCTATGCTAGCCTTTGCTTTGATTGGCTGGATGACTGGCCAATCGGAGGCTTTGACAGCATTTGGAAAGAGTATTACGGTTGGACCTACCGTAGCTCCTACACCAATTCCAGGTGAGTTTATAAAGAGAGTTACTGTCATATTGAACTTAGAGAATAGACTCAACAATATTATCAACAGTCTTTGATAGTCCACTGCACTATTAGCCTCTTTTATCAATTCACACTTAGTAAGCAGGTGGAAGATCACAAATTACGTTTATTTATTAGAGTGTACTGCTGCTCAATCTCTGGCAAATAACCATAATTCTATAATCAAGTAGCATTCATGTATTATAACTTTCGTTAGAAATACTAAATAAATTGTTACGTTTTTAACTTACTCACGTAGATATTTGACGAGGAACTCGACTAGTTCATATTCATGAGTAGCATTTCGCGACCTGCGACGCGGCGACTATTAGCACAGCCTCTAGCAAGGCTTGAATAATTTATTAAGTAGCATATACTCACGATCTCCAGCCAGGATAAGTGCGAGTCTACGGTCTGCGAGCAAGTGTAGCTCGCCGCCTGATCAGAACCAGACCCGTACGAACGAAGCGTTGCGTTCCTCAAAGAGTTAGCAGACCACCACAGATGGGGCACAGTAGGGCTGATGCCCGACCCGGAGCTTCAGACAACTTATAGGTTGGCTGAAAGCAGAATTAGGAATAGGCTGGTTTTTAGTCAGTAAGAGTCTGACACTCCCTCTCTCGCCTCAGAAGCCATTAGATGATTTTCTCCTCTCAAAAAAAGTAACCGTTAATTCGTGCACTTTACTGTCCTGCCGTGACTATTGGCTAGTCTAAGCTGAAATCGGATAGTATTAATAATAATGCGTCTTTGCAATGATGATGTTAATATTGCATGTAATCGCTAAAAAAGTGCCCAAACGTCGACCTAATTAATATAAATAATTTATACATTTAAGTTAAAATATGATAGAGAAAGACAAAGTCAAAGCATTTGTTTAAATTAAACCATATTTTAGTACTTTTGAAACGTCAACAAAATATATAAATAAATAATAGTCTGTCGTCAGTGCGTCAGTGAAGCTAGGTGAAGCTAGGTGCTCATCCCAAAATGTAGATTCGAATAGAGAAAAACGAGCAAGAAATTCCATTCGTTACACATTTACTCTTTTATTCAGTCTTTGACGGCAACTCTCTTTTATTGTCTTCTAAATTATATCCATTGCATGTTTTTTCATGTAGCTTTGGAACATTAGAACTTTTTCAATAATTACAATTAGTTTTAAATAAAACTGTGCCTAGTTATAAGCATAATCACATTATCTAGGAAGATAATACTATGGTGAATTTTAACAAATATCAGTAGTAATATAGTTTCAAAAACGGTATTTTTATACGTTTCTTAAGATGAACGATAGTTTTCTATTTAATTTTAAATTGAGAATGCATTTCGTGACATGTAAATTCTATTTTCTTTAGGAATAAGAAAAGAGTAGCCATGTTAAATACCAAATGTCAAAAAATACAACATGGCGGATTGGCGCCATCATAACAACGAAAATATCTTTCATATAAAATAATTATAATTCTGTATTTTTATTACTCGATATTTGTAATTTAAATTAAAACTAACAAAACATAAATTATGAAAAGTAATTAAACAGTTTATATTTTAACGTGACTAATACAAAATTAGGAATAGAATTACAACATATATTTGTTACAATTCTCCATTAAAATAAATTTATGGCAATTTCAACGACACATGTAAGTATGTAGCTAAGTTATTTATTGTTTAATATATTATAAATTGTATTTTTATTACTATAAAATGTTTCAAATATACTTTTTAACATTAAAATACGTACGTATAAGATGACATTAATGTAGAATTTAAATCTATTCCCGTCTCCTGGACAAATACGTAACGTTTAAGCGCTCATTGTAAAAGTGAATAGAAATATAATTGCTTTGATATTTAACTTATTAACTATTGATTTAAAATACGGGTTTCTTCACATTAAGTTTTATTTTAAAATATTGAAAACCTCTATTAATAGTTTCAAGTCACAGTAGGACTCTTCAACGTTTGTTTCAACGCTCTAATCTAAAGAACTACTAGGTACTTCGATTTAAAAAAATCATTTAATATTGGATAGTCCATTTATCAAGGAAGGTTATATGCTATAAAACATCATACTGCAGAGCGGGTTAAACCACGCGGAAGTTTTTAAGTATATTAAATACTAGCTTCTGCCCGCGACTTCGTACGCGCAATCCCGTTTTCTCCCGTTCCCGTAGAATTTTCAGGTAATTTTCTGTCTTAAGAACCTTCTCCCGATAATTATAAACACAACAAAAAAAACATCAGCCAAATCTGTCTAGCCGTTGTTAAGTTGTGGTTTCATTTTCATATATATTATTAAATATAGATAAATATATAGATAGGGTCTTACAAAAGACAACTGACAAAATTTTTATAACCTTTTCGTTTACGATAACCCTTCACCTTGAAGTAACATAAACACAACTTTGATGAGAAATACTTTGACAGTAACCAAACATACTTACGACGCTATGTCCGATCCATAACTTTTGTATTCAAAATTGGAACTGTCAACTTTGACAAATGATCGGATGACGTTCATAACCGTTACTTACATAGCTACCAACCTTCAAATAATAATTATTAACGTCAGAATTTGACGTGCGATAGCAGAATTGTTATTGATAGTATTAAATGTGATATTAGTCAATTGTATATTCAAAGTGAAGTCTGATGCCTCTTTCACATTCATATTTATAATATTACATAACGTAACATCACGTCTTTTATCCCCGAAGGGGTAGGCAGAGGTGGACAGTATACCACTGTACAATGTAACACCCACTTATCACTATTTATATTATGAGTCCCATGTAATAGGGGGTGAGCCTATTGCCATATACCGGGCACTATTCCAGACTTCGTGCTACTACTGAGAATTTTTTTAAAACCCATTAATACTTTGCCCGATCCGGGAATCGAACCTGAGGCCCCTGCCCGGCAGTCGCACTTGCGACCACTCGGCCAACGAAGCATTAAAAATATTAAGTGTGTTTTTTTCAATATCCGGTATTCTGAGCAGCAGCATTGATAATTATATGAAAGTTGGTGTCATATTGTTCTGCCTATTCTTTCATTGATTTGTGGGTTTAAATTTGTTCTATTTTAATAAGTGTAGGAGAGCCATGCTTAGGCACGACTGGGCCGGCTCGACCGGAGTAATATCACGGCCGAGCAGAAAACCAACATGAAAGAATACTTGCGTTGTGTTTCGCTGTGTGAGGACACCGGAGCCCCAATTACTACCCTCCCCAATCTCTCCAATACCCAAATCCCTAATAATCCTCAAAATCTTAATCCCCAAAAGGCCGGTAACGCATTTATATCGCCTCTAGTGTTTCGGGTGTCCATGGGCGGCGCTGATTGATTATCATCAGGTAATCCGTCCGCCCGTTTACCGACTTATCCCATATAAAAATAAAACCCCCTAGCTCAGTAATGTATAACAGAAATCTAAAGCACTAAGTCTACCGAAAAACCATAAACTATAAACCTAGATTACAATGCGTAGATACTAAACATCTGAATTCAAATAAGACGCATGACAATAGACTTTATATATTTGTTTTTGGTGACATCATGGTACGGTATGGTACAAGACCAATAAAAACTTCTTACATGATTTTGTTATTTTATGGATATCAAATAGCATATTTCTTTTCTACACGAATGGATGACGGGCAAATATGTCTGGGCGATGTACCTATCATCCAATAATGATCAGATGTATGTCGGTAGTTTTAAGTCAAACTCAATACTTTAATATTGAAAAGTTTATTATAAACGGATTCTTTTAAGAACACAGTGCAATGCCCTTCGAACTTCCCACCAGAATCGCGCGTCACTTCACTTTTTGCGGGAAACGTTTGTAATCTGTCCCATTTGACAGATGACATCGTCAATATGACAGCTAGTGCTGTCGATTACATAGATTAAACTAGTGACGTTCATTTAGTTGATTTTCGTCGTCTAACAGTAGAAAATTCTATCATGGCTGTCATTTTTTATCATAGGGGCTAGTTTCAATTCACTCATTCCCT